TTTGCTGCTTTCTCATGCACTGTATATATCTCCTCATCTGATGTTTCCCCTGATAGCGGCTTGCGGCTATCTTGTAACCAAGGAGCTTCGTTAAATACAAATTTGTTATATATTTCTTTACAATATGCGTTTAATATCGTTATTATTCTATTATTTGTTCTATTACCTCTTATTATTATTATTTCTATTACCCTCAATTTTCAAATCCACTCTCCCTTTTGTAATTGAGGGGCACTGAATAGCCATAAGTAAGGGGTGAAATATGAAATACTTCCCAATGTTCCACCTTCACCTTTTTAATTTGTAATTAGCTACATAGCCGTAAGTAAGTCCTAAGAACGAGTGTGAAGTATAGAATACAGGAGACACACCGATTTACCACCATTCAACTTTCTGTCCAGTAAGGGACTGCATAGAGCTAGAATAATAAGAGAAGTGGAATACATGAGACCCATCGATGTTCCCCTTTCTAATTGTTAGGGAGCTGCGTAATAGTAGGCACGTGGTGAGGCGTGGAATATATTGGACAAATCGATTCTCCACCCTTATTTGAACTGGTAGGGCATTGAATAGCCATAGGTACAGTGTCAAATATGAAATATTTCACAACTAAAACTGCTCCACCTTCACTTTTCTCACTAGTAAATGGTTACATAACCCTAAGTGTGGGAGGTGTAGAATGCATACGACCCACCGATTTACCACCATTCAAATTTCTGTCTCGTAAGGGAATGCACAGGCCTAACTTTTGGGCTGAACAGTTTCGTAGGCTACGCATAGATGGCGCTACTAGTATTAAAGCCATATAATTTTATTTAGCCCTAACCTTTAAAAAAGACACGTTTATAAATTTGACAGCTGTTGCACTATTAGTATGCGAGTTTTAGCATTTTTAGTGAAGCAACTTTTGTTAGTTTGAAAAAGGGATAAAAAGGAATTCCGTGTGTTAATAAAGCATTGCTTTTTTGGCGAAAAAAATACTATTGAAGCCAAGTCTTGGCTTGATAAACATTATTCGGACTTTGCACCAGGAAAATCAACCGTAGAGAAGTGGTTTGCTAAATTTAAACGAGGCGAAATGAGCACCGAGGATGATGTACGCAGTGGACGCCCCAAAGAGGCTGTTACCGACGAAAACATCAAAAAACTCCACAAAATAATTTCTGATAACCGTAAAGTGAAGTTGATTAAGATAGCTGAGACCCTAAAGATATCAAAGGAACGTGTTGGACATATCGTGAATGAATATTTGGATATGCGAAAGCTCTGTTCAAAGTGGGTGCCGCGCAGAGCTCACAATCGACCCAAAACAACAACGAATTGATGATTCTAAGCAGTGTTTGGAGCTGTTCAATCTTAGTAAACCCGAATTTTTGCGTCGATATGTGACAATGGATGAATCATGACTCCATCATTTCACACCGGAGTCCAATCGACAGTCAGCAGAGTGGACTGCTCGTGATGAACACTAAAAATGCTATAACTTCAATAAAAATACTATAACTCACATACTAATAGTGCGACAGCTGTCAAATTTATACACGTGTCTTTTGAAGGTTAGGGCTAACTAAAAATCATATGGATTTAATGCTAGTAGCGCCATCTATGTTTCAGCCTACTAACTTTTTGGACAGAGGACTTGAAGCTCGTCACGTGATGGGTATCGTTTGGGTCATTGTGCCTGGATATTCGTTAACAATTCATTTGGGTTCGTTCCTCTACGCTTCACATCCGACAGTACATTCCTATACAAAAAAATATATTCTTTAGTAAGCTGTACCACCCCTCAAAATGTGGCCCATGACGATTAACAATGCCCCCGCAGGCTCCTATTAGGACCGGGACCTACGGTTTAGAGTGGATTCGAACCACTACACACATACATGGAAAAGCCGGGATACTTGAACCCGATACTTGTGGTACCGAACGCCAGAGCGCTAGCCATTCGGCCGCCAGGTCCCCCCCCTATTAAACTGTATAATTAGAATTTTCGCTAATTGATACAATTTTTTATTTCAAAATCCACATTTTATTAAGTATAAAGAAGTTGCAATGTTGTCTGCTCTGGCTTAAAGAAAACTACAAAACTTTATTGAAACATCTGTAGCTGTTTTAAAAATAAAACAATATTCATATTTTTAAAACAGCTGCAGATGCTTCAATGAAATTTTGTAGTTTTCTTTTATCTCAACTGAGGCTATTAAAGTGCCAAATTTGATAAAAGATAGTCAGATTAAATTTCTAAACAAATCTTGCTAATTTGACTTGAAATTACTCTATTAAATAGATTTGTGATATAAATAAATTATAGTTTAAAAACACTAAAAAACGCGCTTTTTGAGTTAATCAAACTAAAAAGTAAAAAATAATTGTTAACATTAAAAATGTCATACAAAGCACCCCACGCTTTTAGAACAGTGAAATTTATTTTCTTGTCAGCCATTTTATTCTTATGTTAACAATTATTTTTTACTTTTTAGTTTGATTAACTCTAAAAGAGCTTTTTTAAACTATAATATTTAAATGAGGTCCCGATACGGAGGACTGGAACTATAGTTCTTACAATAATTTAATTATGAGTAAAACAAATGCTAAATGCGAATAAGTCGAGCCAGCCAGGAATCGAACAGGGAATCTCCTGATCTATAGTCAGGCGCGTTATCCGTTGTGCCCACGTAGGCTCGAATGTCTCAGGTACTTTCATTCTACATGGGTTAAATTGCTCTTCATAAGTTAAAATAAAATCACTCATCCTGGCTTTCCTAATCATGATGAGATAATAAACTTATCAAAATATTTTAGTGTCGTCGGTCCTTGATAAGTCTACAACGTTTAATTGAAATCTGATCGCTTAAAGTAGGGCAAAATCGAGCCCAAAAGTCAGTCACATACAGGTGAAACTAATAAAAGCGTATTAAAAATTGTTTGATTTTAACTATTAAGTAATTTTGTTTTGTTTATAACTGAAATTATAAATAAGATTTGATTTATTTGGGAAAAAGAATCTTTAGAAAAGTCTCAACTATAGATAAGTTGCATTGAACATATCATATCAATAATTTGGAGAAAATATAATGCTCTTGGCGAAATATTTGATAAAAGTGTTACCTTAAAATCTTCTGTAGACAACTGCAGTGCAATAGAGAAATAAAACTCATGGGCAAGATGGAAAATAATCAACATAATAAATTTATAGAATAAAATTAATAAAAAATTCATCGCATGAAACTATTAACCTTGAAATATTACTGAATTTCCTGCGCAAATTATTTTACTTTAAACAAAATGTTGTTATATGTGTAGTTAATACAACTATATAAGAGAGCAAGATATTAGCTTTTTGCATGTTTTTGTCATTTAATTCTTAACTTTTGATATATTAGTTTGTTTGATTTATTTTAATAACTTTAAATTTTAAGTTTTTCTGTCATTAACTTATTAAATTCTTAATTCAATAGAAAATTAATACTGCTCTGGTCAAATCATGTAAATCAAGTACTCATAAGAGTACTACCTGGACATTTAAAAATAATTGTTTGAATAAAAAATGGTTTTTTTTCCTGACTTTGGTCAGGTTTTTTCCAATGTCGATCATATTGTCTGATGGCGCCATCTACCGGCGAGCCAGTCAATCCCCATTTGATGATATTTTTGTATGTTGTTTACATGTTCAGCTGACTGTATTTTTGTAATTTTTAATGCACTTTCGTTACTTTTATTTTAATTTTAATTCCTTTATTTTATTTAGTTTTAACTTTTAATTTTTAATTTTAACTTTAACCTTTTATTTGTGGGCATCGACAACGGACTCCCTAATTGTACCGATAGCTTTAGTTTTTTTTTTTTTTGATCTCTTGCTTCAATTGTACTCAAGTAAGAGATGTTTTCCTTAAATTTTAAATTGTTTGATTTTAATTTAATAACTATTAATTAATTCAAGCAAATTCAATATATACAAATATGTTAACTATTTTAAAATATGGAGGAGGTATTGTGGTTTTTAAAACCACCTTGGAACACCGTAAGCGGTACGCCCGTTGCCTGTTTTTATACATAATGCAATATAACATTTTAAAAACAAAAACAAATTTATTATTTAACTAAAATTTTAATTTTACATTTTATTAAAAAAAAATGCATATTTCAAAATGTTCAAAAATTTAGAAATTCATAAAATTTCAAAGTAGTAAAAGTCATAAAAGTTCAATTTTATGTAGTCATAGTTAAAATAATTGTAAAAATAGTTAAAAATATAATGAAAATTTTATTAAATGTAGAATGCTTATACATAATCAATTGTTCTATTTAAATAATCTTGAAAATTTTTGTAATTTTTTTAAGGTTAAATTTATTAAGCTTAATAAATCGTATTTTTACATAAACTCTTAAATTATTATAGTTTATGTAAAAATACGATTAATTATTAAAATATTAAATAACCTGGGCCTGAATGGCCGAGTGCACACAGGTTTCGGGTTCAAGTCCCGGCGGGGATATGGATGTTCGTAGTGGTTCGGAATCCACTTTAAACCGTAGGTCGCGGTCTCATATGACTGCTGGGAGTAGAGCTGACAGCCCTACCCCGTAAAAAGAAAAGCGACCTGATGGCCAACTGGCTAGCCCTCTGGTCGTTGGTACCGAAGGCTTCAGGTTCGAATCCTGGCGGTCGCATGGATGTTTGTTGGTGGTTCGAAATACGTTAAACTGTAGGTCCCTGCCTGTTTAACCTAAAAGAGTGCATAAGATGACCGTAGAGCGACACACCAAACTAAGCCGTAAAAAGAGAACCATCTCTCGCCTCGAAATCTACCAGTAGGAAGACGGCCTTGACCCACACAGGGTTGTTGCGCCAATGATGATAATTAAATAGTCTGTAGTATGCAAGTTGAGCTAAACCAGATTGTAAGTGGGTGTCTTGGTTGAGATACTTGAGGCACAGGTTGGAGAACTCCCGGCTTTATTCATACACGCCTGCAAACACCACACACGTACAATTACCAACGGCCATACCATGCTGAATATACCAGTTCTCGTTATATCACCGGCATCATCATTGTGCGCAGTCAGTACTTGGGTGGGTGACCACCTGAGAACACCGCGTGCCGTTTCAATTCACAAATTTGGGACCTGAATGGCAAAGTGTCTATCGCTCGGTGCCACAGGTTTCGATTCGAATCCCGGCGGTAAAACGGCACGCGGTGGTCACCCACCAAGTACTGACCGCGAACAATGAGCTTTAGTTTTTTCAATGACGCCTGTCCACACTGTGCCTCAAGCATCTCAACCCAACTACACCCACTTACAATCTGGTTGCTCAATTTTGCATACTACAGACTATTTAATTATCATCATTGGCGCAACAACCCTGTGTGGGTCAAGGCCGTCTTCCTACTGGTAGATTTCGAGGCGAGATGGTTCTCTTTTTTACGGTTTAGTTTGGTTTGTCCCTCTACGGTCATCTTATGCACTCTTTTAGGCTAAACAGGCAGGGACCTACAGTTTAACGTGTATTTCGAACCACCAACAAAACATGCGACCGCCATTTTCGAACCTGAAGCCTTCGGTACCAACGGCCAGAGCGCTACCAGTTGGCCATCAGGTCGCTTTTACTTTTACGGGGTAGGGCTGTCAGCTCTACGCCCAGCAGTCATATAAGACCGCGACCTACGGTTTAAAGTGGATTCGAACCACTACGAACATCCATATCCCCGCCGGGACTTGAACCCGAAACCTGTGTGCACTCGGCCATTCAGGCCCAGGTTATTTAATATTTTAATAATTAATCGTATTTTTACATAAACTATAATAATTTAATAGTTTATGTAAAAATACGATTTATTGCTTAATAAATTTAACCTCAAAAAATTACAAAAATTTTCAAGATTATTTAAATAGAACAATTGATTTTGTATAAGCATTCTGCATTTAATAAAATTTTCATTATATTTTTAACTATTTTTACAATTATTTTAACTATGACTACATAAAATTGAAATTTTATGACTTTTACTACCTTGAAATTTTTATGAATTTCTAAATTTTTGAAAATTTTGAAATATGCATTTTTTTAATAAAATGTAAAATTAAAATTTTAGTTAAATAATAAATTTGTTTTTGTTTTTAAAACGTTATATTGCATTATGTATAAAAACGGTATTTATGTAAAAATACGGTATTTTTTCTCCCTAAGCGCGCATGCTCATAGAAAATTGCGCATGCTTTTCTGTAATAATGTTTTTTATGTGCATGCATGCTAGGGAGAAAAATCCCGTATTTTTAAAGTACGGTGTGCAAAAAACTCTCTATTCCTATCAGAATGCGTGCTAGGAAGAAAAAAATGTCGGACGATTATAAAACGTTATGCAAAAACTCTCTATTAACTGAATCCTGTGCGCAAATTCTTTTACTTTAAATAAAACCGTTTAATACTTTTAACTTAATTTCTTGGCTGTTTTCTTCATAAAGTTAACTTAATGCGGTGCTATTTCCTGCAGTGTTTATAAGCAATGTTCAATTTTTTTGTGTGTTGTCTGCCTGTTGTTTTTATTTATGCCTTTATTAATTATGTGATATCAAATCATGCTGTATAAGACTATATACATAATTGTATTCATGAAATTCTATATTTTGAAATGCGTAATATAATTCTATTTTATATTATATTTTTGCTGTTGCTGTATTTTTAACTTGGGAATTGCATGGCCAGATAATAAAAGTAGGTGTAAAAGATATTGGGGCCTGGTGGCCAAGTGGTTGTCGATGCCACAGGATGGAGGTGTCTGGGTTCGAGTCCCGGTGGTGCCATGGACGATTGTAGTCGTTTGGAATCCCCTTTAAACCGTAGATCCTAGTCAATAGGACGAGTATGGGCGCAGAGCTGACAACCCTACCCCGTAGAGGAAACATCTCCTGTCTCGAAATCTGCCAGTAGACAAACGGCTTTGGCCCATCATGGGGCTGTTGCGCCACTGAAGATTTGGTTTGTCGCTCTACGGTCACTTTTTGCACACTTTAGGCTAATTAGACCGCGACCCTAAAGTTTAGAGTGGATTCGGAACCACTAACAAACATCCGCGCCACTGAAGAAGAAAGTAATGAAATATTGAGGAATTGTTCAGATATTATTTGGAATATATATATTTTTTCCAATGCAGCTGGCAAACATAGACAAGCTTGGTCTTGGATGCCTTAAGGCAAGCGTTGCACAGACGTACTCACTTTGCATTACCCAGGAGGCGCGTGTAACTTGCTGGTAAGTCGCCAGACTCGGTGTAACAATGTCCCCCACAACGCTCTACGACCCTATTAGGATTGGGACCTACGGTTAAAAGTGGATTCCAGACACTACAAACATCCATGGCACCGCCGGGATTGAACCCGATACCTGTGATACCGAGCGCCAGAGCGCTAGCCATGGCCATTCAGGCCCTGATTTAGAATATAGAAACGTCGAGATTTTTTAAAAAAATAAATCATGTTTGGTTACTAACAGACGAGAAACAAAATTCTCACACAACTTTTATTAGCATTGCTGACTCAGTTAACAATGTTAAACAATGCAGCAAAGAGGATGGCAACTGGTTGTTGGGCGTTGTCATGAATAAACATGACATTTGTTGTTTCTAGTCGTGCATGTGCGTCTGCCACTCGCTAGAATTGACAATGTTGTACTCCAACATTTTCCAGTGAATCCATCCTTAACATAACCTGAACCGTGTGGGTCGACTCTGCTTCAGTTTTTTTTATTTTTTTATTTTTATTATTATTATATTCGAGTACAGACTCTTATTTCTATCTGTAGTAACCACTTTTAGCGCTCGGTGCCAGAGGTTCGGATTTGTGTTCCGATGGTGCCATGGATGTTTGTAGTGGTTCGGAATCCACTTTAAACCATGTCCCGGCCTAATATGACTACTACTACTATTACTACTACTATTACTACACCACATCACTATGTCTCAGAACTGAGTTGCCCCTTTACAGTTTGGGAACGATGTGGGGGAGAAGATGTCTGAATGGGCTCTGTTACGCTCTATTGTCTATGATAATGGGACCTACGGTTTTAAAGTGGATTCGAACCTACACAGGTCATCCATGACTCTGCAGGGATTCAAACCCGAAAGAATCTGTGGTACCAAGAACCAGAGCGCTAGTCACACGGCCATCATGCCCCCTAGGTAGATCGTTGGGCATATGGTTGATAACCCTACCTCGTAAAAAGAATGGATGTTTGTTGGTGGTTCGGAATACACACGTTAAACTGTAAGTCCCAGTTTAAATATCCTAAACTGTGCCCAAAATGACCGTATTAGGTGACAAACCAAACTAAATGTCTTCGTGGCGTAACAGCCCCTATGGTGGGCCCAGGCCTTCTGGCAGATTCTGAAAGATGAGATGAGATTGTTTAATGCTTTTTACGGGGTAGGGTTGTCCGCCCTACATGGCAACTTTAATCATATTGAGCCGAGACCTACGGTTTAAAGCGGATTTCGAAGCACTGCAAGCATCCATGGCGCCGGGACTCTAACCCTGTGGCATCGAGGGGGCCAAAGCAAGCTAGTCACTCTGGCACCAGGCAAATTAAATCCTATAGAACACAGAATTTGCAGCGTAATACGCCATTTTAAACTGTCCTATGTAGACTATGGTAATAGGCTTCACTGTCATTGGACATTGCGAGCATGTTTTCCTGGTTTTCCGCATTTGCAATATAAAGAAATTTGATCAATTGCCATTCCAAGCATTGATTTGTCTATCTCTTGTGAATGCAGAGTAAAGCCTCCCACATCAATGTACGCTGGCAACACTGAATCTTTTTCACAGATTTCACTTATCAGTGCAATCATTACATGAAAACAACTTTTTGTAGAAACTATAAAATTTCTCGCATCTGAAGAAATGTAGTTTATTTGGCTACTGCTTTTTCATGTTAATTTTAATGGGGAAGAAGGTTTGGTTCAGTTTGTCGCCGTCTAAGGTCATTTTTTGCACATTTTAGGATAATTAGAACGGGACCTACAGTTTAAAAGTGGATCCCGTACTACTAACAGACATCCATGCCACTGCCAGATTCGGACCCGAAGCCTGTGGTACCAAAAGACCAGAGCGTCAATTAGTCGAATATCTGACCATTTTTAATAAATGTTAGAACGGTTTTTTTCTGTAATGCAGCTGTGGTCAATACAAAGACAGCTGTCTTTATGCACATAAACACAAGGGCTGCGCAGCAGTTACTCATTTAGCACTAATCAGGCGGCACGTGTAGCCTCGAAGATATACTACGGACGCAAGTAACACTATCCCCCACACGCTCTATGCTTC